TGTATTATAATTCTCATCAATTTGTTTTGTGTTTGTAATCAATTAGTTTTCGCTAAACTCCGATAAAATACAAACTTTTGGCAGTGATTTTCACAATCAAATCCACTGTTGATTAAAAAACACAAATAATAACAAAAAAAACAATTTCTTTTGTGGCAAAACAATTGAGACTAAAAAATCTAATTTGGGCTCTAATTTAAATGCCTATAAAAACTACTGTCAATACTGGAGGCGAAAAACATAAATATTATTTACTAATTGTCGAGTGAAACAAATCCAAAAATAACTATTAAGTGCTTCACTTTGTTGTTGAAAGACAGCACACTTTCCATCAACTCTCGCAGCGAAATTAAATACAAATTAAAGTTTACAGTAATTTTACGATTCGTTTAAATACACTCTACTTTCTGTCGGTATCGATAGTACAGTCGAGGAGAGAGAGGGAGGGATAGAGAGATAAACAAATTTTGAGTCGTGTTTTTGTTTGTCATTAATGTCACCACTGTTTTGAATGAATGAAATAAACTATTGATTCTCATAAATTTGGTTTTTGTTTTTGTTTAACAAAAAAAACTCTTATCAATCGATTGAATAATAGAAACGCGAATAATTTTCTTTATTAACAAATTGATGAAAAGGCGAATCAGTTTTCAATTCAACTCACGATCTTCTAAGTATCGGTACTCGAAGGTAAAGCCCTCTTTCTTGCGTTGGCCCCACTTCTCGTAGTCGAAGTATATATATGTTCCCTAAGGGGGGGAGGTATGGGAGGCAAACCACGACTCATTAGTGTCTTATGTCAAGCATATACTGAACAACAACTGAATACCTGTTCGTATTCATCGGTGATTGTTTTGGGCTCTTCGTGCCTCTGGAACCACATCATGTATTTCGTGTGGAAACGCCACGACTGCTTCTTCAGAGCCTTAGCCGCCAAATATTGTGCTTTAGTTCCCTTTAAATGCAATTCATTAGACATTTGTCCACATTATTCAACTGAATGGTGAGCCAAACCTCCATAAAGTAGAAAATAAAAAACAACGATTCGGTGGATAATCGATGGAAGAATTCGATGGAATCGCTGTGAGGCAGGCATTGTTGCGGGTAATAAGTCGGGACCGGACATGGATTCGGTGGCAGATAAGGCCTACAAACGAGCCAATCATTAGCACTGAGAATAGCTTATAATGGAGAGTAAAGCCATACCTAAGCCTTTGTGAGTCCATGGGATGTATTGGATGTCTGGAGGCGGCCTCAAGCATATGGAGCTGATAGTAGCACTGTTTGGTGAGACTGACGGGCCCTAACGGGGCCACACCTAATAACGGCGGAACGTTAGCCTCATTTGTTTGATTACCGGTGCCGGGAGTTGACGAGCGTTGGGGTCCCGATGATGACAAAGGCAGGCCTGAAGTGGTGACAATGGACGCCGACTGTGACGTCTGCTGGGGGTTCACTAAAGCCTTCGACGAGGCACTCAAGAGTCCAAACATCGCAGAAGTGGTCGAAGCGTTGATAGAGTTGTTGTCTCGAAGTAATGAAGTGCTGTTCAGTAGAGAGTTGACCGACTGATCGTAAAGAGATTGTGAGGACTGTTCGCTATGGCTATGACTATGACTGTTAGTGATGTGATCTTCGAGTCGGTCGACTGCTTGTTGTGCTATTGATTTCAATGACGAAAGGGGCTGTTGGTCCGACTCCAGGCTCGACAGCTGTTGCTGTTGTTGCTGTTGTGTCACATTCTTGTGGCCAATCACTGGACCGTTCATTAAGACCGGCTGCGGCTGAGAGAACTGCTGCTGCGGTCGCGCACTCACAACACCTGTATTCCAGGGACTGGCGGACACCGTCGATGAGGACAGGGATGCGGTGGTAACGGCTGCGGCCACACTATACAGCTGTGATATGGAGTCACCGCTCAGACCCATAGGACTCGCGGACATAATGTTTGGAGAAGTAATAGTCTGTTGTGTTTGCAGTGAATTCGGCGAACTATTCATATATCGGTTCATAAGGAGTGTGTCGGCGCTCACGTCCGAGCCCTTCATCTGCTGACTCATCACATTGTTATCCAAGTGTTGTTGCATTTGATTCATTCGATTCATAAGTGATGTGTTGGACGAGGGGTTGGCGGCGCCGGTGTTGATGGCGCCGACAGCCAACGCGTAGGGCGTCGTCCCACTCGTGAGGTTGTGGTTCAACAACGCATTCATCGACGGACTGCTACTACTGCTCGACGACGAGCTACTGTCACGGCTGGGAGTCATCGCCGCACTCGTCGTCACGGCGGTGGTCACGGCCGTAGCGGTGGTCCCCGTGTGAGGTACCGGCGCTTTGCTGGTGGATGAGGTGGTCGATGATGTAGAACTGGTTGAGCTACTGATGGATGGTTGAGAGGACCAGACGGGCTGCGGCTTCACGAGCGGTGTCTGCGGTTGTGGTGCCGACGACAGGCCGGACAGCGATGACGCCGATGACGATGTCTGACACGTGTTGTTCACCACTGAGTTATTGCAGGCGTTGTTGTTGTTGACAACAGTTGTACTCAAACAGGAGGACGAGTTGGTCGTCGCGTTGTTCTCCAGGGATGTCTTGGAATGGTTGGTGAGTCCAGGACTGGGAGCCGGCGATGAGGTGGTCGACAACGGGCTGTTCGACCGGATGGAGAGCGAGCCGTCGTCATCGCCCGTCGCGTTCGAGTTCTTCGTCGTCCCGCTATCGAAGGACGCCGTGTGGTTGGCTCTCGTCTGCTCCGCTATCAGGAACTGATTCATGTCTTCTAAGTCCAGGTCTTCGTATATGAACTCATTGTCCTCGAAGTCGGGCTCTTGACACGACTCGATGTAGTACTCGACGTCGTCCTTAATCTTCTTTATCTGATCCACTTCTACGGTCTCGTTGTCCAACATCCGCATCAGTGTCTCCAACTGTTTGATGTGATACCTGTGCTTCTCGACCCACCCCTTCAGCTCATCGATGCGGTCCTGTTTCTCGCGATCCTTTTTGCTCTTCTTCTGCGCCAACTGCAGCGCTTCCGACTCCGACTCGAACTGATCCAACTGTATGTTCAGTTGGTCGATGGATACGGACAACCAGTTGTTCATGTCATCCCGTTCCCTCTGCGCGGGGTCTAACTTCTGGGCGGCGCCCAACCCCTCCTTCGAGTAGGCCTTTGTCTTCGTCTCCCTCTCCACCNACGGCATAACTGGCACCGAATGGGTGACACAAACCTGTAGTTTCTTAATCTCCTTCTTGAGGTCGGCCTCGTATTTCTCCTTCTGGTTGCTGTTGTTGGCGTTGTGCACCTTCTGCCAGATGTCTTCGAAGGTCTCCACCCCTTCCGCCACCTTCTTCATGCATCTCTCGATCTCTGCACACAAACAACACATCATTCACTATGAGATCCAAAGACTCAACGCATCAATCAATCGTTTGTTTGCATTGAAAAATTCAAACCAAAAGTTATGACAGTATTTGTCACCAAAAAAACAATTAAATCAAATGCATTGACAAAAAGTATTGGAAAAATGCAATCAAATGTAAATTAAATGATTAGAAAAAAGTAAAAAACAATTTATCGGTAATTAGATAACGAGAGAAGAAGTGATAAAACTCTTGGAGTGGAAACGAAAACACAACAAACGATTGATTGCTCGCATGAGTGCGTTCGCACGAATGGTGGGCCCCCTCGGGGGTGACCGCCACGGGGCTGTCAACGGGTGGCAAACCTTGTAATTTACGTCGATCTGCCATCGCATTAGCTATAATACACGGATCAAATGCAGTGGTGATGATGTCTGAGAATGGTGGGCCCCCTCGGGGGTGACCGCCACGGGGCTGTCAACGGGTGGCAAACCTTGTAATTTACGTCGATCTGCCATCGCATTAGCTATAATACACGGATCAAATGCAGTGGTGATGATGTCTGACGCATAATCATATGCAAGAGATCGACGACAACACCAATCGATTGGTCGTAATGGGCGGCCGTTTGTCGCACTCGACGCAAACGCTTCCGGCTCTTGAGGTGAGACCACTGATGCAACTGTCAAACGGATCCACGCTATCGATGGTCGGGTATTCTTGGCGTGTCAGTCACTGCGTGTGTCTCGTGATGGTGCGGTCGACTGCGATGGTAATGCAGTCACTGGTAAGTTGGTTGGCGTGTCTATGCGGGGCGTGTGTCTCGTGTGGATGCCTTCCGCGGGAGTGATGTGTCAATCGTTGGCCACAGAAGTGCTTGTGTTGTGTCTGTTGTGACTGTAATATGCTTTGTGTTCGCAATAGTTATGCATTCATTCAATGCATTCATAATGTATTGTATGTTATGTTCACAGACAAGATGGTTGTCCGTCACACCAGTGCTGCCATCGCCAGCACACGAACCGCACGATTCCAATCAATGCCATACGATCCCAGCCTATCGTAGACGAAATCAGTGAACACACCGTTATTCTTGAAGGCAACGCGTTTTGCGCATAAATCGCTTACAGATATATTCCCGGACAGGGAATCAAAGACAGGAATCTTCGGAATTTACATTTTATGAGTCACTTTCTGTTTTTTGCATCAAGGTAATCATGATTTACTAAAACACATTCATCGTGGTTAATGAGAAATAATTGACTGCCTTATCAACCACACTATAAAAGTCTATAAATCCATTAAATTTCCTACAATTATATAAAATAATTTAGTTTTAATAATTATGTGTATTTTGTGTAATACAATAGGGGAGCAAAACATGTAATAATACTTAATTAAAACAATAAATTCTTAACTCGTTTTGAATATAAAAACATTGAATTATAATAATTCTTAAGGAATTTGCAGAATATTTCGGGAATATTTCCATTACACTACACTCGCAACCAGTGAACGAACCCTAATAACAGTTAATCAATAATATTCTCAGCCATTGCTACCATTGATCATTGAATTGATAGTACAAATAAAACCTACTAGCTAAGTTAACCCACCATAACCCCATCATAAGCCCACCCGGAAATGGACAAGGACACCTTACGCAAGCAGATCGAGAATATGCGATACCAGGCATTGATGGAGAGATGGCCTCTCTCCAAATCTATTCAGGCGTAAGTTTGGCACCAATTCGGGTGACAATTGCGGTGATTGTGTGATCCGTGCATATCGTACGCCAATCTAGACATCACTCGTTGATACTATCAATTGGTGTCAGATATGCATAGAGTCACTGACCCTCACATCCATAGCTCTTGTGGTGATGCTATGGGAACCATAGCTTACATACCACTGCTATGGATGTGTGGTATGACTACTGTCCGTGCTTGTGGTGACCATTGTCTGTATGCATAGATTGCGTGAATACATAGAGGAGAACGAGACACAGGATCCACTGATCCACACGCCCGACAAGAAGAACAACCCGTGGGCTGAGAAGGGCAAGTGTCTGGTCATGTAGGGCAGGGGCACAGTGGCCGGGTATGGCATCCCGGGGCTCACCCACTCTGGCGCACACACTCTTCGCAATTAATTTATTAGTCATTTTCTATTCAATTGTATTAATACTTAACTTTCATATCTAACTATACATGTATTGCTATTCTGTATGTGTTTTTCGGTTCACTTCTACAGTATTATTATTATATGGCCTCTCTCCAAATCTATTCAGGCGTAAGTTTGGCACCAATTCGGGTGACAATTGCGGTGATTGTGTGATCCGTGCATATCGTACGCCAATCTAGACATCACTCGTTGATACTATCAATTGGTGTGAGATATGCATAGAGTCACTGACCCTCACATCCATAGCTCTTGTGGTTCAGCTATGGGAACGATAGCTTACATACCACTGCTATGGATGTGTGGTATGACTACTGTCCTGCTTGTGGTGACCATTGTCTGTATGCATAGATTGCGTGAATACATAGAGGAGAACGAGACACAGGACCCACTGATCCACACGCCCGACAAGAAGAACAACCCGTGGGCTGAGAAGGGCAAGTGTCTGGTCATGTAGAGGTCGGGCACAGTGGCCGGGTATGGCATCCCGGGGCTCACCCACTCTGGCGCACACGCTCTTCGCAATTAATTTATTAGTCATTTTCTATTCAATTGTATTAATACTTAACTTTCATATCTAACTATACATGTATTGCTATTCTGTATGTGTTTTTCGGTTCACTTCTACAGTATTATTATTATTATTATTATATGATGTGCTCTAATGTGTCATTCAATGTATACAATCAGTCAACTAATTAACCGTAACATTTGGTTTGCATATGAAATGTACGCTTTTTAATGATACAAATTAAATGATCAATTCAGTCAATTTGTGGCTAATTCTTGAGTACAAGAATCCCATAAGAAATTGAGTGTCAAATGTAGACATAGTTTATGAATAACAGTAAACAACACATGAATTGCAGTGAAAGGGGTTTTCAGTGGAGAAGTAAACAAAACTTTTTCGGTCTAAGAGTCCAGCGTTTGACTCAACACTCAATTAATTGCCACTTAATTGTCGACTCAATTATCACATCATAGTTACCACTGATTTCACGACACCCATCGTATAGGTCTTCAACCATATCTGAGTGGATCAGCTGTCGATTGGAGTGAGTATTAAGTTGTCGACGACTATCACTGGCGGACGTGATGTTGAAGCCGAAGACACTGACAAACATCTTAAGTCAGGCCAACACGAGTGGAGTCCAATGCACTCTGTATTGCATTTTCATGATATTTGGTGACCAATGATGTGATGATCTAATGAATGGTATGTTTGGGTGACAGTCTGCTGAACAGAGAGGGCACACTTCTGGCGTATTCAGGCTATGGTGACAAAGACGCCCGCATGACAGCCGCCATCACTTCCAGCATTTGGTTGTCGTATGAAAAGTACGGCAAAACAGCGCTCAATGAGGACAGACTCACATCCGTTATGTTCGAGTGTCAGGTGAGTGCCAAACACTTACCATTGAGTTGATTATCTCATGGCATGTGTCCCACAGGAGGGCAATGTGGTGGCGGCCAATGTGGCCAACGTCTTGCTCTGTCTGTTGGCCCGAAAGTCGGTGCCGTTGGGTATGCTTCAGATGAAGATCAAGTCGCTGACCGATCACTTGGAGGAACCACTCAATCAGGTGTCCGCCTCTTAAAGCGCCGACACTTTTATTGTTTTTTGTAATTTAATTATATATTGAATACAAGTTTTATTTATAACTATTTTTTGTCACAAAAATCACTTTTTATTATATATACGAGCGTTTCGTTTGTTGAATAAATTGTCTTTTAATTGAATTTCTATAAAAATCATTGCTTTTTGAGTCCATACTATAGGAATGTAATTGAAATTGAAATTAAAAGCCAATGTTTTAAATGAATTCAATGTGTATTACTTTCGTATAGAAGAGCCAATCGGAGTCTTGGATTGCTTTTTGGATCAGTTGTTGGACTCTTTCGGGGTCTTCATCTGAATGACTGTTGAATTGCTTCAAAAGATTAATTCAGAAATTGAAAAGAAATGTATTGAATGGTCAATATTCTGAAGGCATACCCCTCTCACGTGACTTCTGTAGTAGTTCTGGAGATCAGGCGGAAGTTTTTTGATGTTTTTATACAAATGTTTGTATAATTGTAACGAATTCATTGCCAATTAAGTGGACAATTGATTAATGTTGGCTACAAATCTAAATTAATGAACCAGGTAAGAATCAAATAGTAGGAACCGGCTAATATTTAATAATGTATTATATTACAATTAACTTAATTAATGTGAACATGCTAACTTAATTGTTATAAAATTCCTAATTCACACAATTCTTTAATTACAGAATTGATTACATATTCAAATTAATCTCTTGGTTATAGAGTATCATTGAAATTGAATTTGCATTTAATTCTGGTTTTAGCCAAATATATGAATTAAGGAATCAATTGAATGCCAGAATATTTTGTTGCAAATTGTTGTTTATATTATAGTATTGTATTTCTAAATGAATATAATTTAAACTTTACTGTCAGATAAATAAAAGTAAAATAATAGTATCAGGAACCTTTTATGAAGTGCACATTTCTCTAAACAAAGTTTCAAATACTGAAAACCAAATGAAGACATCACATGAAGACATGCGTGTTGTGTAGTGTTTGTCTCACATGTTATCATCACATCATCTGTTCCTTAGTGTCACCTAAATTTGAAAAGTTTTGTTTCATTCATATTTTCTTATGTACCTTGGTGGTCTAATTTTTAAAAGTATATTTTAATTGCTTAATTATAAATCACCAAGCTCACACAGTTAGATCATTCCCAGATAAATTTACTAGAATAATAAGTTATTAAGAATTCATTTCATAGTTATCCTGATCATATTCAATTTGAATGTTAAACTAAATGAGTATAACTTTTAAAGTATTTATTAGATATAGCTATGAATAGCAACCGATTGGTTCACATCGACCTAAAGGGCGCTCCCTTTCGGCTTCACTATTGGGAACAATTGATTGAGTTCTTGAGCCGCATTGGCATCAATGGCCTACTCATTGAATACGAGGATATGTTTCCATACACTCAGTCACTGTCTGAACTCAAATGTCAAGACTCTTATAGCGAACAACAGATTGAGTCCATCATAGGAATGGCCAATAAGTATGACATGAAGATAATACCATTGATACAGACGTTCGGACACTTGGAGTTTGTCCTCAAACACGACAACTTCCGTGAGTTGCGTGAAGTGAAGACATATCCCAACTCTATTTGTCCCACAAATGAGCGATCGTTTGACACGATTAAAGAGATGTTGCGGCAAATGATATCATTGCACCACAAGTGCACCAAATTAGACAGCATTCACATCGGATGCGATGAAGTGTGGCATTTGGGTCAGTGCTCACGATGTCTGCAATACTTGAATGACAATTGCTATACCGATAAGAGTAGGCTTTTTGCAACATTTGTCACCAAAATCGCTGATTATGTGCGAAAAACTTTCGATATTCATGTAATCATTTGGGACGATATGATCAGACAAATGGATGAACAAATGATCATTGAATCCCAATTGAATCGGTTGTGCGAACCCATGGTTTGGCACTATTTAGACGCCCAGACATTTAGGTTACGGGACAAACAGTTTTGGTTGAAATACAAGCAACTGTTTGAACGCATTTGGATCGCCAGTGCCTTTAAAGGGGCCGCCAGAATGAATCAAATGTTGCCTCCCGTTCCCTATCATATCAGCAATCATTTAGCGTGGATTCAAGTCATTGATGACAACCAGTTGTGGCCCAACATTGAAGGTCTGGCGCTGACGGGTTGGCAGCGTTTCGACCACATGACCACTCTTTGCGAACTTTTGCCCAATTCTATGATCTCTCTATTGATGTGTTTGTTTGCATTCAATGAAAGACAATTCAATGAAGACATTCAGACAAAAGTCTCCACTTTTATTGGCAATAAAGTCATGATTCCGGTTGATATCACAAATAGTACTGATTTAGAGTCAATAGATTCCGATGTATATCCCGGGACAACACTTTTCAAACTATGCAATGAATGGATGTTTTTAGTCAATGAATTCAATGCTTTAAAGAATAATCAAAGGTTTAACAGAATATTTTGAATACTGTGAAACATATTAACTTTAAAATACATTTTCATTTGAATTCAGTCTCTCCGGCGCATTCACTTCATACCAGATATTGAACAATAGAACCAATCCTTTACATATCGAGGCATTCATATTAAAGGCCAGAGTGTAGGCACTATTACTTCATTAATTTATCGACAAATTTACTAAAATTTTAAATTTAATTTTCCTATTTTTAGACTACTTTTTCGCGTTAGAGAACAGAAACTGAAGTTAGAGACAGAAATGAAGAAAATATTTTACGACACGACTATCCATGAATGGATTCTTACAAATGTTGAGCCAATTGTGAACAAATTGGATAAAATCGTTACAAACGCTGATCAACAACATATTGGCAATAAAGTCATGATTCCGGTTGATATCACAAATAGTACTGATTTAGAGTCAATAGATTCCGATGTATATCCCGGGACAACACTTTTCAAACTATGCAATGAATGGATGTTTTTAGTCAATCAATTCAATGCTTTAAAGAATAATCAAAGGTTTAACAGAATATTTTGAATACTGTGAAACATATTAACTTTAAAATACATTTTCATTTGAATTCAGTCTCGAGGGCGCATTCACTTCATACCAGATATTGAACAACAGAACCAATCCTTTACATATCGAGGCATTCATATTAAAGGCCAGAGTGTAGGCACTATTACTTCATTAATTGATCGACAAATTTAATAAAATTTTAAATTTAATTTTCCTATTTTTAGACTACTTTTTCGCGTTAGAGAACAATTTGACTTCAATCTCTGTCTTTACTTCTTTTATAAAATGCTGTGCTGATAGGTACTTACCTAAGAATGTTTACAACTCGGTTAACACTTGTTTAACCTATTTTAGCAATGTTTGCGACTAGTTGTTGTGGCCCTTAATCTGAAGTCCGATGAAATGTGTAAATATTTGTTCGTTTAAACAACTTTAATTAGATTTCTACAAAGTTTAAAATAAAATTTTAAAATTTCACATGTGAATTGCAGTTTTAAGATTATATTCCCAACAAAAACAACATTACGACATTACTATGAATATTCCTACTAATTTACAATAAATCTTATTTTCTAAATTGTATTTCACTTATTAACAGCTTTATTACATAATATTATATCTGATTATAGAAAACATATCCAGGAATTGAAGTCTGGAGACTTGATAATAAATTTCAAGGCATATGACGTTTAAGTGGAATACATAATAACTTAAATAGTGTTTTTTTTGCAAATTGCGATATTTACTGAAAATTGAAATCATTATATATTTTAGTAAATCATTGAGTAAAGAAAAATATTGTAAATTGATTTATTAATAAATAAAATATTACTATAATATTTTAATTAAATATTCAATAAAATCAACCTGAAATTCAATATATCTGTACAGATTTGTGTTCAAATACAAAGTTCAAGGTGTTCTGCACCGGCACAGTGGATAGACTAATAAATTACACACAGATTTTATAATATAATACACTGCTATTTCTCAGGGCATATATTTTTATGTAAACGTTAAACGTTTGGAAATATTTTTAAATAAAACCATAGAAAAATTTACAGTATTATATAATTGCCGCAAAAACATTTTGAAAAATTTTACATGACTTTTGGATTCAATTGAATGCTTTCTTTAAGAACTGTTTTAGACATCATTTGTGGCTCCAATTCTGTGCAGAATATTCTTTGACTCTTTAAAAAGTGATTAATAATCACTGATTATATTTAAAAGTCAATTATTACTTCCAAATAAATTTTAGTTTGAATTGAGACAATAAGCGAGAAATTATGTCTCAATTAAATACTGTCATGTTATCAAAGGTAACTTATTATGATATTGTAATATTGAAAAGTTGATCTTGACTTTTTCAAATAAAATAGTGAGTATATTTCAAACAATTATTATGGCAATAACTTAAATTAACTAGTTTTAAACTATTTAAAAATATTTATACAGTAATATTATAGATGATTTATGAATTTAATTTATTTAATCATAATAGAAATTGTTGAATCGGTGGTTCCAAACGAAATATTTAAATTAAAACTAAAAATTTTTAATATTATTAGACAGTAAATTAATTTAATTTCCAAGGCTACTCAGCAAAGCTGTTACTAAATATGTAAGGCATGCTTTTTGAAGAGAATAATTTGAAAATGATCAGTGTCCAAATTGAAACAAATCAAACATAAGGACAGCTCGATAGATGTGATTGAATTGAAGCATACAATGAATGACTTACAGCTCCAGTGGTTCAGAGCCGGCAGTGCTCTCAACAGAATGTATGAACTCAAGAAATAATTGACACCATTTCTGCTGATTATTACAACTTTTAACTAACTTTACTGTTATATTACAATATAAGCAAAAGTATATTTTCATCAAATATTAATAGCTTTTATTATTAATTGTAGTCAATTATTATGAGATGTCAATTTTAAATTAAAATTATTGCATTTAATAAATTTAACTCAAATTTAAACTTATTTTATTTTATTATAATAGTTTATAAAATGTTTCTTTATAATATTAACTTTACATAACATTAGCTAAATTTTTACGTAGTTTAAAATAAAATTTAAAAGTTTAACACATTATTAATAATACAATGCATAGAGTTTTATTCTTTTGATGTCATTTAGACCTCAATGCTTTCAGATTATATTCCCTACATAAGAGACATTCCTATCAATAATTTATTGACAATAAATCTATTTTCTACATTATATTTCACTTATTAACAGCTTTATTACATAATATTATATCTAATTATAGAAAACATATCCAGAATTGAAGTCTGGAGACTTGATAATAAATTGCAAGGCATATGACGTTTAAATGAATTCATTACATAACTTATAATGTTTATTGTATACAGCAATATTTTTAATAAAAACTGAAATCATAATATTTTTAGTCAATCATTGAGTAAAGAAAAATATTTTAATTTTATTTATTAATAAATTTAATAATAATATAATTTATTAATTTAATATTAAATAAAATCAACGTTAAACACAATATACAATACCTATGTGTTCCAAGTTAATACAAAGTTCAAGATAACTTATATTGCACCGGCACTATTCAAGGCTAGAACATTAGATAATAATTAAATACTGATAATGTAGAGTATTCCTAATTTTCATTACTTATACTTTTATGTAAACGTACGGAAAGTTTTTTATCAAATCATTGAAAAATATATTATGAAATCCTCACAAATACTTTGAAAGGTTTTACATTACTTTTATTATATAACTGTAGAAAACTCGAATGCTTTTCATTAGGAATCACTCATTTGTGCGGTAATTTGCAAAACTTAATTACAAACTGCTTTTTACATCATTTGTGGATCCAATTGTGTGCAGAATATTCTTTGACTATTTAAATAGTGATTATATTTAAAAGTTAATTATTATTTTTAAATAAATTTTATTCTAAATTGAGACCATAAGTGAGAAACTATGTCACAATTAAATGCTATGTTATCAAAGGTATGTTTTGATTTTAAAAAATAAAATACCATATGATTTTTTAAAAATATGATTAAAAATTATTAATTATTTTATACAATGATAATTTATATAAATGAATTTTTATTTAATTATAATAGAAATTGTTGAATGCGACCACTTTTGGTCAAATCCGACTAATTCATAGCACATCACAATGTTGTGCAAAACAGGTTAGATTTTAAATTTAATTTTTATTTTTTAATTACAAGTTTTCAATTAAAAAAGGTTCCGATGAGTCGTTTCGACAAAGACTCGTATATTCCGCACGAAAAACTCGAGAATAATTTGAAAATTGTTAAAAATAGGTTTCAATTGAATATTCTCATTAAAAAGTCCTTTTAATGAAAGTTTTTTTTGTCAAACAATTAAATACTTAGACTGAATCGACCGCTGACTCTGTCGGAGAAGATATTGTACTCTCATTTGGATGACCCTAACGGTCAGGACATAGTGAGGGGTCAAAGCTATTTGCGGTTAAGACCCGATAGGGTTGGTATGCAGGACGCATTGGCGCAAATGGTAATGTTTCAATTCATTGCTAGTGGACTCAAAAAAGTAGCCGTTCCCTCAACCATACACTGCGATCATCTCATTGAAGCCCAAATCGATGGCGTGAAAGACTTAGCCCGCGCTGAAGATATTAACAAAGAGGTCTATAGCTTCTTGAGTACGGCTGCGGCTAAATATGGGGTCGGGTTCTGGAAACCCGGCAGTGGTATCATTCACCAGGTTTGTCATTATTATTTGAGATGATAATATAAATGTAATTAAATTATCGTTTAAAAAATAATATTAATTTATTATTTAGATTATTCTGGAAAACTACGCCTATCCGGGTGTCTTACTTGTTGGCACCGATAGCCATACCGTAAACGGTGGTGGATTAGGAGGTCTATGCATTGGTGTAGGAGGTGCTGATGCTGTGGATGTATTAGCAGATATCCCGTGGGAACTGAAGTGTCCGAATGTGATTGGAGTGCATTTAACCGGACGTCTCAGTGGATGGACATCACCTAAAGATGTAATTCTGAAAGTGACAGATATTTTAACAGTAAAGGGCGGAACGGGTGCTATTGTTGAGTATTTCGGACCCGGAGTTGACTCAATCTCGTGCACAGGGATGGGAACCATCTGTAATATGGGCGCTGAGATCGGGGCCACGACTTCAGTGTTTCCCTACAATAAGCGAATGAGAGACTACTTGTCGGCCACTAATCGTAAGGACATCGCAGACTGGGCTGATGAGAGCCGAGACCTATTGAGTGCTGATTCCGGTGCCAAATACGATCAGGTGATTGAAATCAATTTGTCGGAACTGGAGCCTCACGTGAACGGCCCCTTCACCCCTGATTTGTCGCATCCAATCTCGAAATTTGCACAAAACGTCAAATCAAATGACTATCCAATTGACCTAAAGGTAGGTCTGATCGGCAGCTGTACTAACAGTAGTTACGAAGACATGAATCGAGCCGTCAGTATTGCGAATCAAGCGATGAAACACGGATTAAAGTCTAAATCCATATTCACTGTAACTCCCGGTTCGGAGCAAATCCGAGCGACAATTGAAAGGGATGGACAGGCGGAACAGTTCCGGAAGTTTGGTGCCGTTGTATTAGCCAACGCTTGCGGACCATGTATTGGACAGTGGGATCGACAGGATGTAAAAAAAGGTGTCAAAAATTCAATAATCTCTTCGTTTAACCGTAACTTCACAGCGCGTAATGATACCAATCCTGCGACTCATCATTTTCTGGCGTCACCTGAGATGGTGACCGCCCTCTCCATTGCCGGCAGACTTGACTTCAATCCATTGACTGACGAACTGACCGGTGCTGACGGCAACACGTTTAAACTGAAGGAGCCCAGTGGTGATGAATTGCCGAGTCGTGGCTTTGATTCTGGTGAAAACAAATACCAGCCCCCACCTACTGATGGCTCAAACGTTAGTATTAGTGTTGATCCTAAGAGTCAACGCTTGCAACTGTTAACACCGTTTAACAAATGGGACGGAAAGGACTTAACAGATATGTTAGTCCTCATCAAAGTGAAGGGCAAATGCACTACAGATCATATTAGTTATGCGGGTCCTTGGCTCAAGTACCGTGGTCATTTGGATAATATCTCTAACAATTTATTCATTGGGTTTGTTGAATATTTGTTTTGATATCAAATTTTAATTTCTTTGAATATTCTTTCATTCCTTTAGAGCCATTAATTCAGAGAATAATGAGGCGAATAAAGTGAAGAACCAATTGACCAGTGATTGGAGTCCAGTTCCCGACACTGCCAGACATTATAAGGCAAAGGGTGTCAATTGGGTGGCAATTGGTGAAGATAATTACGGAGAGGGCAGTAGTCGAGAGCACGCGGCCCTTCAGCCCAGACATCTGGGTGGACGGGCTATAATTGTTAAGAGTTTTGCCCGAATTCATGGTATAACTGAATGAATGAATTAACTTTCTGATATAGGATTGTAATTAAATTATTTTGATTGAAAACCCGTTAATAGAAACAAATCTGAAAAAGCAAGGAATGCTTCCCTTGACTTTCGCTGACCCTAAAGATTACGATAAAATCCAACCGACGGACAGAATTTCATTATTAGATCTCAAGAGTTTAGCGCCG